TCTTTTATGAGCGCTGTGCACCCCCCCCCCCCTCCCATGCCTCACTCCTGACCACCCAACAAAACAAATACCACCCTCCTGAACGGCAAGGTTCTGGGAACCTTGTCAAAATGGTGAGTAGGTTATGAAAGGAAACCCTACAGAAGGAGGAGAAATAGGGGGAGAACCATATTTAGCTGAAACTTTCCCTAGCGCAGAGAAGTGTCCTATCACGAAGTTGTCTTGTTTCATCTTTAGTACGAATTATCAGAGCACAGAACGAGAATAATTTGAGGAGGAAGGAATGGGGGAGGGGGAAGGCCAGTTATACGCTGTCCAAAATGAGAGTATCTGGTAGAACGTGGACTTCAATACCGCAAGACAATAGGGCTAGCCAATGTAAAAGTCAGTTTTCTTATTCTCCCAGACCAATCTGGTAACAATTTACCGCCCCCTCCCCCTAGGGTGGAAGCTCAGTTGGCCTGAGGGGAGCCAATCCGGGATATGATAACCAGACAATGCGCCTTGACCTTCGTTTAAGAAAAATAACGGCTAATAAAGTCAAAATTTCGACCAGAGAAAGTCATTAACCCGTTTATAACACAATGCCCATCACTGGTGAAAGACAACCTATTCGGACCATAGCCATTAATGGGACCATAACCATTATGACCACTTTGCAAATTGATCGCGGCCACGATCATATCCACCAGCGGTGGAGGGCGTCCATGGTCCCAAATGCGATGGCGATTGTGCGTGGACTGTGTGAGAGGAAATCATCATGTTCAGTCTCTATTCTACTGAAGACAAAATTTGTAAAAGCTCTACCAAAAAGGTGTCGAGCTGTGAGCAGGGCCTTGCAAGGATGGCAGGACTTTAGAGGACCTTCAACAGAAAAAGGCAGGTTTTGAATCTAGCCTAAGGTCTGCTAATGTCTAGAAATGATAAACATCCTAGCGACCAGACAGCAAGGTGGAATTGAGAAAAGATGGAAGAATGGCGAAGAAACTCAACTGTGTGGAGAAACAGCATTACTCAGCAAGCGCAGAACAAAAACAAGGAATATCTAAGCTTCCCGGCAAAACCCCACACGCGATCAAATTTCTAGTGAGTAAACATCTAAAAAATTAAATTTCAGAAAAAAAAACATTTATTGCCTGCTACGATTTGTCACTTCTCACAAACTCG